TTGCGGAAAAAGTGTGGTCACATGTCCGGCATGTCCTTCATTGAGACAGATTTTTTTGTTTTTCTATTTTCTATGTATCTATCTTTTATGTCTTTGCTTAATAATCTTGCTCCAAGACATAAAATAAGAGCCTTCAAACTTAATCTTTTATTAAGATATAACAAATTGTGTTTGTTGCCTGATGAGCATTTAACCTTAATTATATCTGATATGTGGGAGAAGTCATTAGAAGCAGACACAGCACTGAGTAATCCCTGTTTTTCTGTTGCAGCTAATGCAGTGAAATCACCTGCCCTCTGCTCGTTTCACTTCTTTGACAAATGGATCCCAAAGGTGCACACTTGAAGTTGCTTTGTAAACTACAAGTGTTGGTGGATCAGCAGGTAGCTGATCAGCTGCATTGTCTCTCTCTCACTCGCCGGGGCGGAAATTATTGCGGGTCAATGCCCTCGGCCCACTCACCTGTGAAGTGGAAACACCTGATTCTCACTGATGCTACCAGCATTTAAGCAGAGGGATGGCAGCCATTCATCGCTGGATTGTTGCGTGAATCACGTTAGTGTATCTCCGCTCTCGTAGTATTAGACTCCGAAGGCTATACCTGTGCCTTCGTTCTAACGTGTTCACTCTGTGTTTAGATCCCGTGGACCCGTCCCTGATTTCCTGGTGAAGATCCCTAGTCATGGACAGTGTTGGGGAGTAACAGAATACATGTACCGTCGTTACGTATTTAAAATACAAAATGTGAGTAACTGTATTCAGTTACCGTTTAAAAGGGTGGTATTCAGAATACAGTTACTTTGTTGAAATAAATGGATTACACGGTGCTCCTTTCCTCTTTCATATGTTTGGCTATGCCCTCTCTATTTTTGGTAATTCCACGAAGGTGGAAACCCAAACAAAACGCGTATTAAGAGGTTCAAATGCCTGTGTCTCAATCTTGCGTCTCATAATGACGTGAAGAAATGTTTTTTTATGAAGGCAATAGGCAGAGTGTTGCAGGCATCGCCCTAAAGAATGTAGCCTCATGGGCAGTGTAGTCCGTGCTGCAGGGAGAATGGACTGCCATACCCGTTATGTGTCTGTGAGCGAGGGAGGGAGGGAGAAAAAGGAAAAGTACGAGCTGTCACCGAGCAGAAACGGGAGATGGGTTGCCGGGCCTCTGATTGCAAAAAGCCGCCTTAAAGCATTTATGAAACTGTCTGTGCTCATTGATTCGATCAACTCGATATGGACTGCTCTTGTCGACAGACATGAGAACATCACGGCCCACCTTTTAGAGCTAGCTTTTCCTCTTCTTGTGCGCCGGGTTATAATGTCCCATGGCCCGAACACGTCTACACCCACATATGTGAAGGGGGGTGCAAGTTGCATTCGTTCAGATGGTAAGTTTCCCATTTGCTGACATTCCGCTTTTCCTCTCAATTTCTTGCATGTGACACACTTAAAAAGCACTGTGCTGATAGCCCTTTTGGCCCCTACCATCCAGAACCCTGCAGCTCTAATTTCACCTTCTGTGAAATGTCTTCCTTGGTGTTTCAGTGTCGTGATAGTGCCGTATTAAGAGCGTTCCCAAGTGGTGTCGGGCAGGGATGATGAGAGGGTGAGTGGTGTCGATGTCCAGTTCAGATTGTATGATTCGGCCCCCAACTCTTAAGAGTCCATTACCATCTAGAATAGGATGCAGTTTCCAGAGACTGCTTGAGGGGGAGATCGTGATTCTTTCCTGAATACACTTTATTTCCTCTTTGTAGCACTCACTCTGAACTAGGGATGGGTACCGGTATCCGGTGCCATGATGGCATAACATAAACATAAACGGTAGTAACCAGACCGAAAAGCAGCGCACATTTCGGTGCTTTTTTTCGGTGCTTTTTTCCCCCTGAGATTCACTTTGAATTCTAGCCAATCATTTTACGTTTCCGAGGATAGTAGGCGGGTCCAGGTACGTACATTCTTTTAGAGCAAAGCTACAGATTAAAAATGCCCAAGGTGAAGCGGTTGAAGTCTGGCTGTACTTCACAGCAAAATATGCAAACTCAGCAGCCTGCAACAAGTGCTTTAAGGTGATACTGTGATACTGTCAAAGGAAGTAACACCTCAAATCCGATGAAACGCATAGCGTGTTTTTTTTTTTTTTTTTTTTTTTGTTTTTTTTTTAAAGCCGAGAAATGCACCGTATTTGATAGCTTGCTGCGAGACCTCACACCGAGCACATCTACTGCGGGTGTGGTGCCTGTTATCGGACCCGGAGTTAGCAACATCCCCCAAAAACCCGAAGAGGTGGTGTTTCTCAGCTGGTGGCGAAATGCCAAAGAAGCAACTTAATGTCTGTTGTTTTTTGGACATTTAGATGGTGACAAGCAACATGTGTAAGGTTAAATGACATGGTCAAGAACGCAAAGGTGCTTGGTAACACAAGTGTCACTATGCGTTCCTAATTTTTGTCATGCATGCGTAACTGCGTACCAGTTTTGTGCACCCCTGATTATACTAGTATTTAAATATGAAAGAAATTTGCTCTGATTCAATGGCATCTTTTGACTCATCTACAATGACTGAACCTGTGCACTCTCTTTAGCTTCTTTAACTTCTCCTCAGCAACCATTTCAGCCAAACATGACAGAATTTGGGTTGTTTTGCTGGTGTACAAAATATTTTTTGCTTGTTGTTCCAGTCTCCTTCTAACCACAGGGTCATGATTGCTTATCATGTTTGGCATTTCTAGGAAAATTCCCCTTTTATTTGAGTCAGCACACTGTGACCACTCTGAGCTATGTTTTTAGTAGCAGTGAAGATTAGAATTTCTGCTTTTGTCTTACTGTATGTTTTGTTTTCAAGCACCTGTTTCTGGCGATGGCAAGCGCCATACATTACAGTCATCAGAATTTAACAGAACCCACTGACTTTAAACATTGCTTTCTCTCAATGACGATATCCCACAGCTGAAGTAAATACACAGTAACAAGAGTCTCTACTCTGGGAACATTCCAACCAAGGGTGTATTTTGTACCATTCTGGGAGCACCCTGCTTGATATGTCTTAGGAAACCTCAGATCACGTGGCTGTGGGGCCTTCACTTTTGAATTTGCATATGTCTAAATTCACACACAAAAATGAAAAATATACCAAATCCAAAACTCTACACAATAATCGACTTGGAGGAGAGAAAGAGAAATTCAAAACAAAGGAGACATGACATTTTTAACATGAAGAAACGCCCAAAATCAGACTGAGCGGGTCACAACGTTAGCATTATAAATCTTCTATTGCAGTTCCCTGGTTAAAGGTCAGCATTGTTGTGGTCTGTTGTAATACAAACAAACAGAAAAGTACCCAGCATGAACATTGAATGTGTTTACATTTAATCAAAGCCACAGTCTTTCTCCAACTTTAAATAGTGCTTGTAGTTGCTTAAAACTATGAGGTGGGATCAGTTATAACTGTGCCTCCAATGCAGCTTGAAATGTTTCTGCAGCTAGCATTCAGACAAATGTGCAACATGTAAACATAACACATCCATAATCAGAGATGGGTAACGCGTTACTGTAATCTGATTACTTTTTTCAAGTAACGAGTAAAGTAAGGGATTACTATTGCAAAAACGGTAATTAGATTGCCGTTACTTTCCCGTAGGAACGCTGCGTTACTGCGTTACTAAAACCGTGATTTTTTGCGAGAATGTCTCACGATAGTGACGTAAGCGAGTGCGCCGTTAGTGACAACAGCTGTGTGCAGATCAACAATGGATCATATATCGAGTGCAGAGAGAGTATGAGCGTGCAGCGTTTAAAGCGTGGAAGTACTGACCTTACTTTGAGTTTGATTCCATAAAAAGTGACAAAAACATTAGCGTCCATCGTGCGTGGGAAGAAAACTTCTTTTTACAGCGAAAAAAAACCCCCTAAACTTCCGAGCAAGCACCGAGTGCGCCATGACGTAATGGGAAACTCACAGAGAAAGTCGCGGATTCTTCAACTGACCGCGGCACACCTGCACCAGGGTAAACCTCCGCCTACCCCACTCCTGCTTTACAGGTGAAAATAGAGCAACAGCACCGCTAGTCTTTGACTTTATTTATTTTCTGCTGTGTTTTACTTGCATCTGTTTGAAAGAGTGAGTGTAAACACAAAAAATATTTTATTTTATGTGCTGGAATGTGTAGAAAATAGGTTTAAATGTTAAACTAATTTATTCAACTCAAAGAATGTTGCATATAATTAAATTTTTGCTTGATGCATAAAGTTAAAAGATTAAAACTGATAAAACAAGTTAAAAAAAAGAGACTTTTCCATTTGATTACATTTTGTATGATGGATTATGTAGAAAAAGTAGAATTGGGCTGAAAGATCGATCGCTTTATCACCTCTTCAGGTTGTAAATCGTGTTTTTAAAAAGTAACTAAGTAACTAAGTAATTAATTACTTTTGAAAATAAGTAATCAAAAAAGTAACGGGATTACTTTTTTGGGGAAGTAATCAGTAATTAGTTACTGATTACTTTTTTCAAGTAACTTGACCAACACTGTCCATAATACATATATTCTTTGCAGAAAATGATTTGTGTAACCTGAACTGATATACATCAGGCATGAGCAGATGTCTTACGTGTTGTCTCGTGAATCTGCTGCAGCCTTCACTGCAGCCTGAATGAAGGACAGTTGTGCAGAAATTGGTGATTAAGGAGTACTGAGGAAAATTATGAAATGACAGAAGAGGTTTAATGGGAAACAAAGAATGAATGAACCATGAAAAGATCCCTGTTAATTGAATTTACCATCTAATTATAGCTTAATATTTGCAGCTTGACCTACTACTCTGAGTTGAGATACAAGTATGCATGCAGTGCATGCATCGTACGGACTTTGTAGAAGATGAAGTGGTTTGTTTGAGCTTGTTTTATCAGATAATCAGAGTGATATTGAGTCTTTGAAACTTCCTGTTGTCTCATGTTGCAAAAAACCCCAATCTATTAACCACCTTCAGGGTTGTTGATCATTTTTCCACTTTCCTTAGAACTGCACTGAATATGCAGATGAGAAAGCAACTTAAAGCTGAGGAGGCCACTTCAGACATCTTCTGAAACATCACTATCATCAGGTCTACAGTGCAGTCAACATGAAGACTCTCAGCCTGACGGCGGGACTGCTGCTCATGGTGTTTGCAGTTTACCCCAGCGATGCCTGTAAGTCTGTGTTAGATTTTTCCCAGGTATTCTTGTTTTCACACACAAAATATGAGTAATTCTTGCCATGAGAAATTATATGATGGTTATTTTGTCATCTATCTGTGCAATTTTTGCATAAATATTTAGTTCATTTTTTTTTAATTTAAAAAGCGGATAAAATTTTCCAGCGTCTTACCGTGCCTTAAAAAATTATCATAGTACATTTATTTATTTATTTATTTACAAATAATGCTTTTTAAAGCTAGTTAACTAGTTCAATTGGACCAATAGGATGAACAAGACTTTCTAAAATTGTTTTTGCAGTGATGACGCACGAACCCAGTGTTGCTAACTTAGTGACTTTGTCACTATATTTAGCAAGTTTTATAATTAGAATTAAACTTTATTGTCATTTCACATGCCACAAGTACAAGGCAACGAAATGCAGTTTGCATCCATCCAGAAAGTTCTTTAGCAATAATATAGATATTACACAATATGGATCTATTATAGGTATGTTACAATGTACATGGTATGAAGGTATGTTATGAATATACTATAAGTGTAAGTATTTTCAGGCTATAGCTCTAGTGAGTGAACAAGCTATGTACAGGCTATATAACAGGTTATACATGTGGTTAAAAATGTGAAAACTATATAGATTGTAGATATACAATTGGAGTATTAATAAACAGTTGTAAAACTATAATTATTATATCGTACAGTATGATTGTCTATGCAGCATTTACAGTAGTGCAGTTGAGATCAGTGAGATATATGGATAATTTATACAGTAGTTATATAAAGGGCCATTGGTTGTGAGTAGTGGTTCAGTCCATGTTAATATTGTGTGTATGAGGGGTTTAGACCGCCTTAGTGACTTTTTTTCTAAAAAGCCACCAGCGACAAATCTGGCGACTTTTGCTGGTGATAGACCTCACGCAGCAGTCGCCCTCAGCTGCTGTCAGAGCAAGAGATGTTCACACCTACGCGTCCAAACTGCAAATGAATCCCCCCCGACTGTTACGCAGTCAGTTCTTCTTTTACTGTTACTTTTTGTGGATCACAAGGTATAAAACTACCCGCTCATTAAAAAAAAAAAAAAAAACTCCTCCAGAGTGCCTATTTTGTGTCACTTTTCCCAGTCCCAAGCAAGATAAAGGGGGAGGGTTGGAATTGTGACAATAAAAAAAACAAACAATAAATGCTAAAAGAAATTTAACTTGTAGTCAGAACATAGTTTCCATCCAAATATAAGATACTATCGAGCTAATTCCCTGCTAACTTTGAACTCCATTAAACTTTATAAATCCTGTTTTCATGGATGCCTGGATGTTAAACTTAATTGTTACGCCTGGTAAAGCAGCAACGCTGATGCTTTTATTACAGATGAAAGAATTTAGACAGTTTGTAACTCTCAGTGGTGCCGCAGTGTTCGTTTGAAGGGGAGAGTTTGGACCCAGAAGCAGCTAATGAGCATGAACCTTATTTATATCTGGCATGTTGGAGAAGTCATTAGAAGCAGACGCAGCACTGAGTAATCCCTGTTTTTCTGTTACAGCTAAGGCAGTGAATGCACCTGACCTTTGCTGTTTTCACTTCTTTGACAAACGGATCCCAAAGGCGAACATCGTGTCCATCGTGAAAACTCACAGACAATGTTCCACACCAGCATTTGTGTAAGTTTGTCTTTCACTGTCTCTTTGATTCGATCACTAATGTTTGCCATGAAGTAATGTATAAGCAATGTATAATCGTCCACATTAAAGCATAACTCTCCTATTAAGAGTAAAATGTGTAAATATGAGAGCAAAATAATGATACTGATTCTTCTGCAGGATCGAGACACCCAGAACACTTTTCTGTGTGAAGCAGACTGTGAAGTGGGCAATGGAACAATTTGTTAAAGAAGAGAGAGCGAAAATTGAACCAATGCTACAATTAACACTTCAAAAATCACAAAATGCTTTCACTCCATGAAGTTACTTTGTAAACTGTTGCTGGAATTTTAACCCCTTTAGTCTTTACCTGCTTAATTACAGCTGCAGAATATAGAGAACATTTATTTTATGCTGATTTCAAATTTTTTTTTTTACATTATCACAATATCAACTTCATAATTTGGGAATTATGTTAATCCAGTATGTAAAACTCAGTTGATAAAGTGTCTTCCCTCATTAATATCCCATAATCATCTGAAGGTGCTCTTACTGTAAGATAGGAGCATTGAAGAACCACATGAAGTGCCAGACGACATAAAGTTAGATGGCAGGGTTAGTGAGTGCAAAGACAGAGTGCTGAAAAAGTCTCCAATGTTTTGGTGACTAAGAAACTCCAGAGTTCCTCTTCTGGAATTAAAATTGGGATGTGGGTTTTCATGGCCTGTAGGTGTAATGTGTAGGTGACCCCATACGTTTGTCCATATAGTATTCCACACCGCCTACCCTCCATTAAGCCATGTTGACCCAGGTTGATGTGACTGTGTCTCAAAGAGCCTCATTTGATGAGCAAAGTTTATGTTCAGCACTCTTAGGCTTTCTTTAAGCAGCTCTCCAAAGCTTTGAGGTGTGTTTGGCTTCAATATCCTGCTGCAGTGTGAATTCTTCTCCACAAAGATCTACATCACTGTTGGAGCACATCTCTGAAGAATGGATCACTGCTTGCCCTCAGTCAGGGTGCAGTTGACTCACATCAGGTGTTCAGCTCTGGGTCTGGAAACACCACCAGACTTAAACTCTCACCGTCTGATCCACTGTGGTATCTCTCCCTCACCTTACAAAGGCCCTTGTTTTCCTGCCTCTAATCTCTGAGAGCGATTGTTAAAAACAATTTCAAATATTTTTGATTCCCCAGACTCTGAGATTATTTTCAGGTTCAGATGAAAGTTTTGCGCACGTTAAATGTGTTCTCAGGCTTTTGGATCTAGCTACGTATAACATGTATCAAATCATGTGATCATTTGTCTTCACTGTGTTATTGTTATGCTGCTACAGTGTATCTAAAAAGATTTTGTCTTTCTTTATTATTTTGCTTTATTCTTCATTAAAGTTTCATTTCACAAAGCTCAACGACTCCATCTGACACTGAATGTAAAAGTGTTTTCATGCTGTGGCCTTTGTTTTGGAATTTATAAGTATGCTGGTTATGAAAATGTGTTAATAGAAGCAGTTGAAGGTGAATGTGCACAATGTGACATATTTATAAATTGTATATTTTCCATGTGGGAGACGGAGTGGTGAGAATGTTACTGCGGTTCTTTACAGTTCCCATAAAGAGGTGGGGCATTTTAAAGGAAAAGCATGTCATGATGTCAGTTACTTTGTAGACATTGACGATCCTCTGTGTCTACTAACACATTTGAACTTTTAACATTAATCTTTCAGTCAAACAGTCAGTGACCTTTCCATTTCTTGCAATTGAGGTAAAATGATCTGTAGTATCAAACATTTCTGTTGAAAAGCATTTAAAAATGATTTCCTTGCGATTGTATATGACCAAAACCAATCAAACTACATTTTGCACCATATCTGCTGTTCAACTCATATCTAATCATCCAATCGGCCAAAGGAGATTTAAGTGACTTTAAATGTGGTGTGGTTGTTGGTGTCAGTCGAGCTGGTCTGAATATTTCATAAATGGCTGATTTACTTGAATTTTCCCAAACTTTAGGGTCTCCAGGGTTTACAGAGAATGGTCTGATAAAGAGGAAATATCCAGTGAGCAGCGTTTTTTTGGGGAGAAAATACTTTGTGAAGGCCAGAGGAAAATAGACTGATTTGAGCTGATAGAAATCAAATTCAAATAATTTGATGTAAACAACATCAAATCCTAGATCCATTCTCCCATGTATTAAAAACCACCTCCAGCTGAACGTCAGCAAGACCAAGGAGCTGGTGGTGGACTTCAGAAGGGGTCAGCACAGAGACTACAAGCCCATTATCATCAATGGAGCTCCAGTGGAGAGGGTGCAGTCCTTCAAGTATCTTGGTGTCCACATCTCCTCAGACCTGACATGGGCTGCCCACATTCAGGTCCAGACCAAAAAGGCTAGGCAGCGCCTGTATCACCTACGACAACTGAGGAAGCTCAGGGTCTCTCCAAAGATCCTCAGGATTTTCTATACAGGCGCTGTGGAGAGCATCCTCACACAGAACATGACATCGTGGTTCGGGAACAGCTGTGTGAAGGACCATAAAGCTCTCCAGAGAGTGATCCGTACAGCAGAACGCTGCTGCAGGATTGCTCTCCCCCCGCTTCAGGACACCTACACCAGGAGATGCCGGACTAGAGCAGCGCAGATACTGAAGGACCCGTCCCATCCTGGCAACAAACTGTTCCAACTTCTGCAATCTGGTAGAAGGTTCCGCATCTTCCGGGCAAGGACAGAGAGACTCAAGAGGAGCTTCTATCCCCAAGCCATCCGTGCCCTAAACACACACACCCGCCCTCTCACATCATCTATAATTGACTGAGACAGGACTCTTCCAGACACTAAACCAAGGCACAATGTACATTTCAATTCCTTTAATTTTAAATATGTTTATATTGTCTATCCTGTAAAATAGTCAGATGTCTATTCATATTAATGTACAGAATTCACCTGCTTGCTGCTACTACTGCACATTCACCCAGTGTATATACTATATGTATGTATTTACTATATGTATGTATATATATATATATATAATGTTCTTCCTCTACACCCCCCCGCTACATTTCACTGTGTGTTATACTTGTATAACTATGCATGTGACAAATAAAGAACCTTGAACCTTGAACCTTGAAAAACTCAGGTGTAGGTGTTGGTTGCCTGGATCTTGTTCTTTCCATTCAGCTGACTCCTCAGGACTTCTTAGGTGCGGCTTTCTAAGTGGCCTCGTCTTAGTTCCCATTTGCCTATGGGATTCCTAGGTATCTGTAGCTGTCCTCGATGTCTGTAATGTTACCGTCTAGTAGTACAATCACCTCACTTCTGACTACCTTCCCTCTCTTCATTACCCTCCGACTACACCTCTCCAGTCCGATTGACATTCCGATGTCGTTGCTCTGATCAGGGGTGCGGAACTCCAGGCCTCAAGGGCCGGTGTCCTGCAGCTTTTAACCTTGGGTCAACACACCTGAGTCAAATAATTAGGCCTTTGGAAACTTCAAGACATGTTAAGGAGGTAATTTAACCATTTAAATCATCTGTGTTGGATCAAGGACATGTCTAAAACCTGCAGGACACCGGCCCTTGAGGCCTGGAGTTCCCCGACCCCTGCTGTAGATTCTCGTGGTGGAATCAGTGAATCAATGTCTTGTTCCTGGCATACAGCATGATGTCATCCATGCAGAGGAGGAGGCTGATGATTGCTCCTTTCTGTAGTCGGTATCCATAGCCAGTCTTTTTAATGGTTGCACTGAGGGGGGTTCAAATCTATGCAGGACAGCAGTGTTCACAGGCCATCTCCTTGGTACATCCCACACTTTATGGTAAGTTGTGCCACTGGCTTGAAGTTGGCCTCTAGTGTTGTACACCACATCCAGTGTTGCGCACTGTACTGCCTTGGTGTGGCTGTTCTCACATTGTCCCACTGCCACTGATAGTATAGCTTGGATGTTTCAGTAGAGTTTAGTTGCCTTCTGTCTATCTGGTATAACTCTTCAAGCAACTTGCCGAGGCCGTTAGTGTTTGCTCGACAATTTCTAAAACCATAAGATGGAAGACATGTAACCACAAAAAGATCCCTGTTAATTGAATTTATCATCAAATTATACTGTACTATTTACAGCCTGACCTATTAATCTGCGTTGTTTGAGACATGAGATAAAGATACTGCATGCATTGTAAGGACTTTGTAGAACACTCATTGGGTTTTTTCAGCTTGTTTTATCAGATAATCAGATTGATATTCTGAAACTTCCTGTTATCTCATGTTGCAGAAAAACCCAATCTATTAACCATCTGGGGCTGTTGATTGTTTTTCCACTTTTCGTAGAATTGGTTTCGATGTGCAGATGAGAACATGACTTAAAGCGGGGTGTTCGGACTGATCACTTCAGACATCTTCTGAAACATCAGGATCATCAGGTCTACAGTGAAGTCAACATGAAGACTCTCAGCCTGACAGTGGGACTTCTGCTCGTGCTGTTCACTGTTTACCACAGTGATGCCTGTAAGTCTTCTAGCTTACTTTATTCTACTGTGATTTTCATGAATAAAACCAAAATGGAAAAATGGAAATGATCAAATGACTATACGCTCGAGAAAATACCAAGGGCTAACAAAGGAGCTTGAGAAGATGTGGAGGGTCCCAGTGATAATCGGAGATCTCTGTCCAGAAGGGCCTAGTCCTCGGAACAGCAGAGATACTGCACAGGACCCTTAAGGTCCCAGGTGTTTGGTAGAAGACCCGAGCTTGAGGGCTAAAGATCGCCTTGAGAAACAGGTCTGGGCTTCTTTGCTTCGTCTTCCTGCAACCTGATTTGAGATTAGTGGCACAAAATAATGGCTTATAAATTAATGGGATATTATTATTATTATTATTATTATTATTATTATTATTATTATTATTATTATTATTATTATTATTATTATTATCACGTTCTCATTATTAAAGAAAGCCTGAGCAAATAAAAGTATTTTTAAAAAGTCACTATTTCATGAATTTTATTAATTATATTTTACCCCAATACTTTTACTAAGAGTATTATTTGAGACTATCAGCGTTATTGGTTCTATTTCCAACTCAGAATGCTGTGCTACTTTCTGATGTAAACTCTTCTCAATTACTTTGTTAATAAGGTGATTGACTCCCCTTATGTAGATGGCCTCAGTGCCTTGGGTCATGCATTTCTTTTTCTCCAATTACAGCTATTGAGACAAAGTCATGTTCCATCCTATTTTAAACACAGTAACTCCTCTACGGAAGAAACAGAATCTTGATGCCAACTCTACTTGTAATCATCAGGCTGCAGATTACAGATTCTTGGCCGTTTTCAGTCTGGCTTTCAGAGGCAGCGCTTCACTGAGACGGCAATCCTGGAGGGTCTATAATGATCTTTTAATGGCTTCTGATGTGGGGAATAAGTCTGTGATCATTTTGCTTGATCTCAGTGCAGCCTTCGATATGAAGTTTTGGCTGGTGTATCTGGCTTTGCCTTAGACTGGTTTCTTCCTACTTATCTTTTAGGACCTTCTCTGTTAGAACAGACAGGTTGTCCTCTAACATTGCCTCCCTAACATGTGGGGTTCCACAGGGTTCAGTTTTGGGTCCATTATTATTTTCTTTCTAAGTTCTTCCTTTAGCTGACATTAATCAATCTTTTAGTGACATTTCTTATCATTTCTATGCCGATGACATTTAGATATATATGTCTTTTAAACCTCATCAGCTGGATAGGTTGTCCACCCTAGTCCACTGCTTAACTCAGGTTACTGATTGGCTATCTAGCAATTAACTTGTTTTAAACACAACAAGCCTGAGACCATGATCATAGCTCCTCCTGAACTATATGCTAAAATCAATCAGGTTCTTGCTTCTTTCTGTCCAACTGTTAAGTCAAATATTTGGAGTAATATTTGATTCTTCTCTGGGCCTTGACTCGCATGTAAAATCTTTGTTTTGTTCCTGTTTCTTTTATTTAATGAACATCTCTATCATATGGTCTTCTCAGCTGAACTAGAAAAAAATCTTCATGCATTTGTGTCATCACGTTTAGGTTATTGTAATGTCCTGTTTACCAGCTTGGACAAATCATCTCTTTCTCTCCTGAAGCTATACAAAATGCTGCGACCAGTCTTGTCACACATTCTAGCAAGCAAGCTCACATCACTCCTATTTTATATTCTTTACATTTGCTCCCAATATATTTTTTAATTCAATTTAAAATTCTTGTTTTAAGATACAGAGCAGTAAATGTCCAGACCCCAGATGATTTATCTCGGCTTAAAATACACTACTGCTCGTTGTCTCCATTCCCAGATTCAGAGTTTAGTGGTTGTTCCCCGTACGGGACTAAAGACTAGAGCAGACAGCTACTAATGTTCTTGTTTATTTTAGCCGTTTGTGTACAGCGATTTGTGACCGCCTGTTTGTGAAAAGCGCTTAATAAATAAACTTTGAACACTTACTTTACTTACTCTGTCAGATTCATAATTAACAACAATTAAAACTTATTAATAACAATTAGTAAGTGTTTAAAATATTTTTCTTACTCAGGATTTCTTATTTATGTGTTCTGTTTTGCACTCGTGTTGGATTTTTCCCAGTTTTTACAGGATAGGAATATTTTTCAACATGTTATTATAACACGAGAAATTGTAGGTTTTTTATTTTACATGTTGGAGAAGTCATTAGAAGCAGATGCAGCACTGAGTAATCCTTGTTTCTCTGTTACAGCTAAGGCAGTGAATTCACCTGAGGTTTGCTGTTTTGAATTCTTTGACAAACGGATCCCAAAGGCGAACATCGTCTCTATCAACAAAACTCACAGTCAGTGCTCCACACCAGCATTTGTGTAAGTTTGTTTTTCATTGTCTCTTAGATACGATCACTAATATTTGCCAAGTAAGTCATGTATGATTATCCACATCAAAACTGTACCTCTGCTATTGACAGTAAAATATGGGAATATGAGAGCAAAATAATGATACTGATTTTTCTGCAGGATCGAGACACCCAAAAGGCTTTTCTGTGTGAAACAGTCTGAAGAGTGGGCAGTGAGAGAATTTGTCAAAAGAGCACAATAAATGCATCAAAAATCTGCCATGGCTCCAATAAATGTCACAAGCCAGAAATCATCGGTCACTGCATAAAACTGCTTTGTAGACTCGAGGCAATGCTGCAGTTTCAAACCTCTGCACAACTTACTCGCTTAAATACTGTAACTTTTAATGAAGGGAGAATGAATTTATTTTTTCTGTGTTTTCAAATGTTTACAAATCACAAATTCAGTTTAACTTTTTGGGTAAAATTTTAAACCTCAGATAAATAAATTTCAGTATTTAGTATATGGACAAAAGTATTGGGACTATTGGGTGTTTTCAGTCTTTTTGCGACAGGTGAATGAAATCAAACATACTTAACAACGGGTCATTCTAAAGCACTTCGTGAGCTCGACTGTGGCACTTCATGACATTTCTTCCGTCCTTGATCATCTGTAAATGATATTACAGCAAAGTGAAAGTGCTTAAGAACCACAGAAATACAAAACCACCTCCAGACTTAAAGTCTCCTTGCAGGTTTGATCCACTGTGGTTTCACTTCCTCTGCTATTTATCTCTTTACACACTCATTTTCCTGGCACTAATCTCCAACGCAGAGTTAAAAACAGTTTTAAATGGTTTTGATTCCTCAGACTTTCAGATTATTTCCAGATTCAAACGAAAATCGTGCACAAATTAGAGATGTTCTCATACTTTTGGATCCAGCTGTATATATAACAAGTAGTAAATCATTTTTCATCATTTTCATTTTTTTCACTGTCTTCATTGTTATGCAGCTACAGTATATCTGAAGCATTTATACATCACTCTGTATCGCTCTGCTTTATTCTTCATTAAAGTTGAATTTCATAAAACTAAACGACTCTGACTGTGAATGTAAAAGTGTGTTTTAATGGCCTAATTTTTTAAATTGATCTGAATGCTGGTTATAAAAGTTTTGTCAGTAGAGTTTGTACAGGTGAAGGTGAATGTGCACTATGGGACTAAGAAGACATTTTACAAACCCATTATCTGAAAAGGGAAAACTTTCCTGAGCTGCTCGAAAGTTAAACTTGTTTATCTGCACAAATGCTTTCTTACACAAGTGCAGTGTGAAAACTGAACAGACTATGTGGTGCTGCTAAGTGTGTTTTATTTAGCAGGTCAGATTTTTTTAAAGGTGTTATTTTCATATTCATAAATGAATAGGAGGAGTGGAGATTACTTTTGAAAAGAAAACCATGTTAGATGCTGATGCTATTTAAGTTATTTTGCAGACTTTGACAATCATCTACTTGTGCTTATTTATGTTAATAATTTATCTTACCTTTTATCATGATTATTTTGGATGTTAAATGTACTTTTTGCAGCAGTTCATTGTATGTAGACGTGATTAAGACGAAGTGTTGAAGTTCAAAGTGAGCATCAGAATGTGTTAGTGCCAGAGAGGCTGGTCTGAGTATTTCAGGCACATCAGATCTGCTGGGATTTTCTCACACAGCCATCTCTATGGTTTACAGGGAATGGTCTAAAAAAAGAGAAAATATCCAGTGCAGCTCTCAGGGGAAAAATGCTGCCTTGATGTCAGAGGTTGGAGTGTGTTTTTCAGGCTTTGCATATTTAAGCAGGACAATGTTAAACTGCTCACTGGATCTGTTACAACAACATGGCTTCATAACAGAAGAGTCAGAGTGCTGAACTTTCCTGCAGTCCAGACATTTCACCAGCTGAAATATTTAATCCCTCATGAAACAAAATAGAAGAAGAGCTGAGCAGCTAGAATCCTCTCAGACAAGGATGGGACAACATTGCTCTCCCAAAACTCCAGCAGCTGCTCTCTTCAGCTCCCAGATGTTTGCAGACTGTTATTAAAGTAAAGCAGATGCTCAGAGTAGCAAACGTGGGCCTGTGATCTTGAAATCATTGCTTCTTTTTTTGTTTATATTTTTTTTGTTTACACAGCATTCCACATTTTACAAAATTTGGGTTGTAGTTGACCTTTGACCTCTAGGTGAAAAAAAAATCAAAAATACATACAATTTCATTGCATACAGTTTGTGTATAGTCAGAATTTAGTCAAAGCAACCTATAAAATAAAACACCACAAATAATTAGTTCATCCTTGAGTCCATGTTTGTCATATCTGAGGAAACTGGAGTATGTGACCCTGCCTGGAGCCGACAACAAAACATAAAAAGGTTACCTATTTCCCCTCAGCTGGCATCTGTAGGAAAATATACCCTTTTTTCAGATTTTCAGTCTTTTTCTAAGTAACACACACTAGTGGAAGAATGTGATTTTTAAATTATTTACAAAGGTCTATATGTTGTGGGGCAAGAAAACATCAAATAAAAAAAGATGATCAGGGTCACAGTTAATCAGAATCAGAATCAGAAATACTTTATTAATCTCGAAGGAAATTATGGGTTACAGCACGCTAAATGGCACATGCACACTTACAAGGGAACCCTCTGACCAAACATACTTTACACATGCATCACATTGGGGAAACATGTCAGAGAGGTAGGCTGATAGGAAAAAAAACTACGAAAATACACAACATGAGGTGAGAGGAGGAGAAAAAAAAACTCCACTCAGACTGAGCTCTTAATGGGAGAACAGTTTGAGAACAAAAAAACCCACTCCCCACAGAAACACAAGACAAGCAACAGGGGTGGGTAAAGGGTGAGAGAGAGCCGGTGTAGTAAGCGCATCCGGTCCTGCAGCATATCTGCACTGGTCCAGTTGACCCGCCATCTTCCCCGGGTGGGGACAAGTATCGAAGGCGTTTGGAAAGGGAGGGGGGGTGAGTGTGTATCAGTGTATGTGTGTGTATGTGTGTGTGTGTGTGTGTGTGTGTGTGTGTGTGTGTGTGTGTGTCCTGAGTTAGCTGATAGAGTGTCCTTCGCACAGCCAGGCGAAGTAAACAGTCTTCCAGCCGACCCAGGTGGCCTTGCGTAGGATAGGAAGGAACAGTCTAAACACCGTCTGTTATCAGGGTGAGAATTTGTTATGTTCAGCTCCAACCTAAGCTCCCTAATTTCCTTCGGGATTAATAAAGCATTCTGATTCTGATTCTGAACCTTGATCCACAGCTGGCACCGATATGGTAGCCGCATGAAATGATGGTGGTGATTCCTTTAGTGCGAACAACTGCATATCAATTTCATGACCCTCGGGCTCTCCCGAGCCCAGGCTTCTCGTTGAGAAGTGGGTGTCAATTGCATTCAGGGACCAGTTGATCAAATCCACAATTCCTCTTTTAGATTTTAGAGAACAGACTGTGAGAGTGTTGAGTAGTAGAGCAGTGAGCAGATGAATGCTTTAGCTTGGACAAGCAAATAGACTGAGCAAAGATGAAAGTTCATCAAACTTCTGTCATATTAGATATTGTTTATTGCAATAAATCCACACTAATTATCTTCAAACTACCAGCAACCACGACTATATTACCGGAGAGCTGAAGTTAAGCTTGTTTGCTGTGGTCACAGGCTGACTTTTGTGTGTTTCAGACCAGTGATGATCTCAGTAACTCAGAAGTCATGTGCATGAACATCATGGTTATTGAACCGTTCTTTTTCCAGAGTGATTTTACACCTTCAAATATTAACATACATCCACTTAAATCTTTTATTAGTGGTGCTGAAGGTTCTTCAGCGTCTTTCAACTACACAAGGCCTATTATTAACTGATTATGGTTGATTACATGATAGAAAACAGCACTCAGTAGATTCACCAATACTCAGAACAAAGTCCAAGGAGCTAAGAGCTGTTTGGCTACAATGACGGTATATTTGCAGAAATAAAGGTGAGGCTTTCTAACCAAAGAGCACTGGGTCAACTGCCACACATGGAGGTGCTAGCATCAGCTTTTAACCATAAGAAACCAAACAATTTAAATGAACTCTATCATTTCTGACAAAAAGTGGTCATATATTTGGCCAGAATTGTATCAGAAGCTTGATGGCTAATAAAAATGTGTGGTCGAGGTGCATCTTGGAGAGGATCGAATATTAGTGGCGTTTGGACTGCACCCAGTTCTTGTTTTTAAGCCATTCAAGATAATACGATGTACAATCATTCCAGCAAAGGAAAAGACCAGTTCAAAGAAATCATTAAAGTCCAAGGCCAGGATTACCATGATATTCATGCCTGTGATGAGTGTCTGCAAAACTTCTGACCACGACTGCATGTCTGCAGGGGACTGCACGGTCTTCAGATCAGGTTCACAGAGAGCACTGTGATGCTGGCTTGTCTATGAGAGGAATGAGAAAAATGTCAGTGTACACCTGTGAGGTAATGACTGTTATGTCTTCTGAACTTTTACCTGACGTGTCTCCCAAATCATAAAAAATCTGGGAAATTAGCTTATTTTCTTATATATGTGTTTCATCATCACTGACCATCAGCTTCAGCCCACTGCAAACGTATCTTCATCTGTTCAGGTTTCAGTGCTGGTTTTAATCGACCTGTCTGTGTGTAATTCCATTTCCTTCAGCACATTTGTTACAGCTCTGTCACACGCACTGAAACAATGACTCCTGTTTCTTTATTTTCTGTGTTTTCTTGTTTATTTTCTGTTTTCAGTGCTTTGAGTTTTCTGTGTAACCTACATGAAATCCAGTCATGTTCCAGAAATGACTGAGCATGCAGCTCGCGGTCCCCCTAGTGGTTGTGAGGGTTATCTGCATCCTTGTCCGCATGGAGGAAGAAACAGCTCTTCAGACCATGTGAACGGATGTCGGTGAGTTAGGATGAATTACGGTGCGCTCACAGTGTTCTTAAGTTTGAGCTGCCTGTTATTTGTACTCAT